TAAAGTGTTTGGGGAACGTTTGTCGACAGCCAGGAAGTCTGGATCGGGGGGAAATCGAAAACCGGAAGCCGCTGAGACGACAAAGAGAGTTGCCGGTAGTTTCAAGCGAAACCCTAACCTCTCTCTCCGAGATGCCGCAAATAAGCTGGGTGTATCGTCTACAACCGTGCATCGAGCCAAAAAACGAGCCGGACTATCGACTTACAAGAAGGTAGTGACTCCAAATCGCGATGATAAACAAAATACGACGGCCAAAGCGCGATCCCGGAGGCTGTACACGACGATGCTGACGAAGTTTGACTGCGTGGTAATGGACGACGAAACCTACGTCAAAGCCGACTACAAGCAGCTTCCGGGACAGGAGTTTTATACGGCAAAAGGAAGGGGAAAGGTAGCAGATGTTTTCAAGCACATGAAACTGTCAAAGTTCGCAAAGAAATATCTGGTTTGGCAAGCCATCTGTACCTGTGGCTTGAAAAGCAGCATTTTCATAGCTTCCGGGACTGTCAACCAAGAAATTTACGTGAAAGAGTGTTTGAATAAACGTCTGCTGCCTTTCCTGAAGAAACACGGTTGTTCCGTACTGTTTTGGCCGGATTTGGCATCTTGCCATTACGGTAAAAAGGCCATGGAGTGGTACGCCGCCAACAACGTGCAGGTGGTTCCCAAGGACAAGAACCCTCCCAACACGCCAGAGCTCCGCCCAATTGAGAAATACTGGGCTATTGTCAAGCGGAACCTAAAGAAGACCAAAAAAACTGCTAAGGGCGAGCAGCAGTTCAAGGCAAACTGGCTTCTGAATATTTTTCCTGAATTTTATACTAATTGAACTTGAAAAAGAAATTTAATTTGATTTTTTAAATAAACGATTTCACCGATTTACATGAAATATTTGCTTTGCTTAACACATTTTAGGTCATTCGTGACTAAATCGTGGTGAGATTAGAGATCAAGTCATTCAGCGTGAAAGGCATGGATGCTAACCATTTACGCCAGGCCCGTATTCACTTAAATCATATGAAAGCAAAATCAGTAATCAAATTGATTTCATTGAAATTCAACAGTGTAAAATGTTGCTCTGATTTTTGATGTGTTAACCGTTAAGTCAACCAAAATGAGATCAAATGGAGTATTCAAAATAAGTTACATCATAACAGCAAATTCTGATTTCAATTTGATCCCTAACTTTGCTCGGGTATCCCGAGGTATCCTGTTGAAATCAAAATTAGTTTTCATTATGATAGGAACTGCAAACTTTAATATCGATTTGCTTGCATTTTGTTAACCGACTTTGCTCGGGTAGCGTGCCCATCGCCAATAAAGTTGCCATCAATGAACACCACGGGACTGACAAATGTTTCCGCTATGGGATTTCACAAATTTGACAGTACCCTCTTAAGGTGATTCCTCGTAGAGTCCACAAATGGCTATGGCTATACATGCACTTCCACTTCGAATTTTCAATTACACAAATCTCGGTAATTAATGCCCCATTTCATCTGAAATGCTACTTCATGTATGCTGCAATACAGTGGTACGTTTCGAGGAAGCTGATATTTGTGCACTTAAAGTTTCAAAGTGGTTACGAGAATAAGGATCTCACAGCGAAACACCTTAACTGGTCTATACATTTATGGCCCATTGAGGTTTTTACGTTCAATTGTATTGGTGCGATTTGTGAGAGCGAGTTAGTGAAAATCCGAGGAAAATACATAACAAATCAGTGTCAAACGCGTTTTGACAGATCTAATTTCATGCAATTTTTAGGTTAGGCAGAGGAAAATAATAAACAACTTTACACGGCGATGCACCCGCAATTTTTTTTTAAATTCTTTATTACGGAGATTTTTAGCCTATGGCTAGTTCATCTCCAAGCACCCGCAAGTGTGCGTACGTTAAACGTCACCAATCTCTATAACAAACTTAAACAACAGATACAAACTTCCCAAGTAACAATTTTGGTTTTATGAAGGTTCTGTAGACCTGTACTTCCCAACCAGGGCGCCGCTGCGCCCTGGTGCACCGCGAAGCTTTCCCAGGTGTGCCGCGGGCTCATTAAAATATATATATCAAAATCCAGCAAATTGGTGTATTTCTGTATAAAATGCATAAAAAAAAACCTGAAATGCTGCATTTGGAAGTTGAGTGTACATACAATGATTGCTTTGATGAGTTTTCACCGTTGGCTCTCCAGTTTTCAAAATGACGTCCAAGCAAGAGGAGCAGCGTGTCAAAATTTTGCTCGCGCAGCAAGAGAATCTGACGTTCTCACACGCCAAGTTGGCAAAATTGCTGGATGTGGCCAAATCGACCGTGACAAACGTTTTAAAAGTGTTCGGGGAGCGTCTGTCGACCGTCAGGAAGCCTGGAAGCGGCGGCAATCGTAATCCGGACGTGGCAGCGACGACGAAGAAGGTGGCAGTGAATTATAAGCGGAATCCTAACCTCTCCATGCGGGACGTCGCAGGCAAGCTCAATGTGCAGCGGACCAATAAACGAGCCGGGTTGTCGACGTTTAAGAAGGTGAAGGCGGATTTCAAGCAGCTTCCGGGACAGGAGTTTTACACCGCCTCAGGAAAAGGGAAGGTGGCTGAAATTTTCAAAACCATCAAACTATCGAAGTTCCCGAAAAAATATCTCGTCTGACAGGCCATATGCACGTGTGGTCTAAAAAACGGCATTTTCATTACTACGGGAACCATCAACCAAGAGATCTACGTCCAGGAGTGCCTGGAAAAGCGGTTGCTACCATTCCTAAAGCAACATAATAGACCTGTGCTGTTTCTGACCGGACTTGGCGAGCTGCCACTATGGGAAAAAGGCAATCGAGTGGTACGATGCGAAAAACGTGATCTAATAAATCCATGGAAAACGAGCAGCAGTTTAAATCTATCTGGCGTTCGGCGGCGAATAAGGTCGATGAGACCACTGTGCAAAATTTAATGGAAGGGGTTAAGCGGAAGGCACGGCAGTTCGGATTTGGCAAACCAAAAGAATAAACGAACATTTTTTTCCTTTAAATATATGAATTGAACTACCAAAAGTAAAATAAGAAGATTTTTGTGATATGAATTTTGACTGACAGAAGAGATATTTTTGTCGACCAATTTTTGCACGTTCCAGTCTTTGGTAGATGGAATAATCGGTGAAAGACGTGCCTGAAGGAGAGTTGTTTCTGGATGGTGATGGTTGGAGTAGGCTTCTTTACCGACAAGACCAGGGGCAAGATCGACGAGGTTGTTGATGATTAAAACACATCAATTAGTCAAATCGGAATCATGATCGAAAGTCTTCAAAAATTTAATTAACTTACCACTAAATCCCGCAACTGGAGTGTTCCTTTCCGTCGATAGCGTCACTGCGGGTGCTCTCTGTCTTATTATTCGTATCATGCAAGTCCGGATTATAGTCGCTATATTCATAGTCTGGCGGATCGAATCTCGGGAACCAATTGAGCTGTCAAATAGCGGAACCAATCGAGCAAATCACGACCAACAGCAGAACAGAGCACATCAGCTATTGCAAACAAAACTTCAGAAACCCTTTTCTTGTGATTAAAGCTCACCTACGCAAACTAACACCATCTTTGGGTTTGGGAAAGGTTGCCCTATCCGATGATGTTGGTAATTTGCGTTCGACTGGCGAGGAAATAATAATCAACGTTTTTTTTTTTTAATAAAAGTTGATAGTACCTTTTTAATTGTTGGTCTACAATATATTGAATTGGTTCTGCTTTTTGATAGATTGAAATTCTATTCGCCAGACTATAAATATAGCGACCATACGCATCACCACCTATTAGGTCCAAGGTTGCAAAGACTCATTTCAGCTAAAACAATGTTTTTCTAAATTATGAAATAATTAGATGCCATGAACAAATTTTGAATTGGTAGGATACAAGAAGAGGTTGCAAAGAATGTGTTTGACATATTAAACCTGTTTATTTCACTTCATGAGAGTCACAATCAGCGATTTTTCACAAACTCACTCACTCAGCGATCAGCAAATCGCTGATTGTGACTCATAGAAAGCAAAATTTACAAGTTTTATGTTTCCAATGCATACTTTGTAACCTCTTCTTGTAAGTTACAAGTAAAACATGCCATCATACCATCTTTTGGTTTTATTATTCCGAAAAACATTATTTTAGCTGAAATGAGTCTTTGCAACCTTGATTAGGTCAGGTTTCAGTGCAATTACAACTGATTATTGCAATAATGGAGTAGCATGATCATGATCCAGATAAAAAAAAACAGATTACCGTAAAACGGGGTAACATTGATAGTTTTCTAAAGTATATTCTAAATATTTTTTACAGCAATGAATGTTTTTCAAATTTTATATTTTTAAAACAAGTACTGAGGATCCAAGAGTTATTTCGTTAGTAATATGTTTAACGGAAATTAAAGCATTTACACATTTTTTTTTAGTTTGTGACCGAACTTCAGCATTTTGATATGGGGTTACTTTGATAATGCTCGATGAATGTAGAAAAAAGTGGGTGAAGCTCAAACAATTAAGTTCTTAAAATATGAAACTTTGAATGAGTATATAATCAGAAAACCTCATAAGCAATAAGAATACAACATTGAATTTATTATGGCTCTATCAGAAATACATTTCATAAGTGATGGTTTGAGTGCTTTTTCAAACCGGCGAAAAACACGAAAGTTGTTTTTTAATATGTTTGTAAAATATGTTACACATACTATATAAAAACTATATACGATATCAATGGAAATACCCTAAGCTACAATATGGATCCAATTTATCTAATTTGGAAAAAGCGCAGCGAGTAAATTTAATCTTTATATTATACTATCAAAGTTACCAGCATTATCAAAGAAACCCCGGTTTACGGTATATCTAAACGTTATCCTTCCATTGTTCAAATACGGGCGTCTACCACGCTGGCTCAATTCTCTGGTAATCGGAATATTGAATTCAAAGGCTTAAACAAATTCAAAAACAATCAACAACTATTGCATTCATCTATTCAGTTATTCAGTTTTACGTTTCTTACTACTTCTGCATAACATAACATTTACCAATCTCCTGGCAATCAAACCAACCAGAACTAAAACTCCCACTACCAGCGCCATCACATCCAAGAGAGCGAAACTAATCCACGGCAGATCCAAGCCTGCAGATCGTAGCTGCGGCGCCCCCTTATGCCGAATCACGTACTCCACCCAGTACACCGCTTCGTCCAGAGCAGGAACCGGGCGATCCCTAAACACCTCCGATACCCTATCCATGTTCTTCTTGTACTCCGGCTTGTGCAGTAACTCCTCCAGTGCCCATCGGAACGAAGTCTCGGTGACATTCGGGAAGAACAACTTGACCGCATAGCCGCCCAGCACGGCCTTGTTCATGTTCAGATGCTGATCAGCGTAGATCGGAATACCCAGCATGGGGACTGCCCGGTGAACACCCTCCTGGGTACCCAACAGACCTCCGTGAGTTATGAAAACCTTCACATTCGGATGAGCTAGGATGTCATTCTGTGGCATCCAAGATTTGATCAGCACATTGCTGGGAAGGTCCTTGACAGACTCGTCTTCGAACTTCCACACAATTCGCTGCTTCATCGGTCGGAACACGTTCAGGATGGCATTCAGCTTCTCTTTCGGCAAATCGGAACTCTTCAAATTGGTTCCCAAACTGAAATAGATTGCTCCTTCCTTGGCTCCATCCAAGAATTTCTGCAAATCCGTCGGCAAAGGCTTGGGTTCCTTGATGTGCAGTCCACCAACCTGAATCATTCCGGGAACCCGGGCACGTGCCGTCGTCAGGGGGTAATAGCTGTTCAATAGAACAACCGAAACCTTTCGTTCAAGATCACCAACCTTCGGGAGAGGCCCCTGGAGATGACCAAAGTTCTGCAGTGCCATTGCTTCCTGCTTCGGAAGGTAATAGAAAGTTCTCAACGTTTGCTCGTACAATGAAACAGCGGTGTTGTAGATCCTCTGCGGGAAGGTCATCTTGTCCATGAAAGGTAGAAACTCGTGGGGAACGTGAGAGTACATGTTCATCATTCCCATCATTGGCCCCATGTACAAGCCAAACCCGAAGGTTCCTGGAATTGCACAAAAATATAGGTATTGATGCATCCTCATTCAAGCAATCAACTTACCAACAGTCACAATCGGAGCCTTATACTTGTGGGCAAACATCAAATACGCCTCCTGGTAGAACTGTTCGGCCAAAATCAAATCAAAGTGGCTCTCGTCCTGCTGGATAAATTCCCGTACGTTCTCCCTCGTGAAACCGTGCTGCGTCGTCTCCACTCCCATACTGTACAGGAAATTCATCAACATCTGATGGATGGATATTTCCGTCAAATCGAACAGTGAATCCACTTTGACGGATTTTTCCCAAAAATCGTAAATCGGCGCCACCCGAAGGTCGGTGTAATTTGCGTGCTGCCGAGAGAGTGGATAGTTGGCAATGGTAGTGACCTGATGGCCCCGGTCCAGCAATCCATTCAGGATGGCATCGATCATCATCCAGTGGCTACGGCTCGGGAATACGAACACTGCGAGAATGCGGGACGAGTGTGCATGATGCCATGATAGGGTGCACAGCAGCAGGAGAGGGAGGAATTTTGGAAGCTAAAACAAAATTAGGTGAACTGTGATGTAATGATGAACTGCTGCGATACTGGAGTCTAATTACAGAATTTGTTATGTTGTGTAAAATAGAAAAAAAATATAACGACGCTTATAGAGAAATGATGTCAGTCACCAACGCATTTATACCTGGAGAAGACAATTTATTTTTTGCGATATTCGGCTTATCAGTCAAGCAAACAATTTGACGAGCACATAAGAGTTAACAAAAGCCTTTGTACGAAGAAAAAGTACACCTAATAATATATGTAAAACAGAAACTTATTAGAAAATAGAACAGTTCACCTGAAGATGATGCTAACCAGCATCGACACGTCAGACAAAATTTAAATGTTTCTTCGCATCAATTAAAGACTGATTAGCCGAATAACTCAAAAATTGTTATTACAGTTGAATCTCGATTTATGAAGACAATAATTTACTTCTCATGAAGATGGCTTCTAACACCTCTGTATGCAGTGCCACCGCTATTTTGCACGCATTCCAAAACGATAACGTAATTAGTTTCAATTGATAAGAATATCAATTGATTGCAAGCGGGGTGCAAAATTATCAAAATCCAAAAAAACAGTCTAAAGGTCGATGACATTGACAAGTTCACCATCAGCCTATGGAAGACAATCTTGATAAAAATGAATAGAAGGGAACATATCCATCCAAGCTGCAGACATGGGATCGCTGATAATATCTTGATGATGAATAAGTTCAAGCTTCAAAAATTGATTTCATTTTTTTGTTAAACCGAAAATCTTGACGATGTTGGTAAAGGGTGGAACGAGCAAAAAGTAGTCGAACACAAAATTAAGTGTTAATAAATTAATCATCTATTTTAGGTCACTCTGACACTTTACTCTCACATGAAATATTGTTGAGCTCACTCTATGCCTTATAGTACGTTCAGACTACAGAGTTATAACAACAATCAATTAGAAACTAACGATTTTAAATTGGCTCACTACTTGACTAGCCTATTGGTCCCAAGCAAACGATTATCGTACCCTATTCTAGTCGAAATTCTAGTACTACGCAATGTTTGTTTTGATTCGCTATGAAAGTTTGACAGATAAAATGAGGGGTTATTGGTTTTTCCTATGTTTCGCGGGGTGAATCGATTAGCTTGGGACCGAAGAGAGTACCAGAGCTGAGCCAAAAAGTTGAGCACGTTATTTCGGGAACTTCTAGTCTTAGAGTTACCTCTATGTTATAACTCTCCAGTCTGGACAGCGTTTTATTGCCAAATACGAATTCACGGACTTTGCGGCAGACCATTTCGATTAAATTTTGCACAACCTTATTGCACAGACAAACAGATATAACACATTGAATATTTTTCAATAGAAAACATCGTCGCTAAAATACTACCGCCATCTGTTGAGTATAATGTGATGGGCAGTACGCTGAACAGATGGCGGTAGTGCGTAAACGTTAAACCCTAACATTTAACATTATCGTTAAATGCGTGTTCGATGAACAACTTCCGAGTGTTATGCCTGTTTGTCGTGCTTATTGAATTGTTAAATAAAATAATTAGCAATGTACGTCGTTTTGGTTTGATTTTTTTTTCTCGTATTATCAACTTATTCTGGACTCTTCTTGAGAATTTCTCTTGTTAAGTGTCCAATAATTTTTAAAAGACCGACGTATAGTATAATGAATTTGGCGGGTTCTAGTTCTTAGCTACAACTGCAACACAGAACAGAAGGGGAAGTGCAAACAAATCGATGAATCAAAAAGTGGCTCGTTTTTCTGCTCAACAAGCAATGTGTTGTGGTAGCGTTCCACATGGGCTTTCTATGTGCACTCACACTATCATAGTATGCTGCCTAACTTAACTGCAGGCATAAGATGCCTTCTACCGCTAGGTGCGCTAGTGTTCGCAAATGAAAAGTGGAGCCACTTTCTGATCCGAAGTTCCACTCATGTGACTGCAACGTTGATGGTTTCATACAATTTTGTTTTCATGTTACTTTACCGCAATAACAAGGTGCAAGATCAGGCCAATAAGGCTTAGGGCCCACCAAATAGTTTTCATAAAAATTTCGACAGATTTGTTTTTGCTGAACTATTCTCTTCCAGTTGACCAGGAAGCTGTTTAAAATCAGCCTTGACAAATATAGATTTGAATTTAACGAATGCTCGTACAGAATTTTAAAATGCTGGCTCTCTTGTTTGGTAGCCACCTTAAAAACTTATTGCATAATTCCAAATCCAAAAATGGTAAGAGATTTCGTAGATACACACTTTCAAAAATCAACGTTTGTTATTTTTTAAAGTGCACGCTAAACAGAAATGCACTAAATTTTAGTTGACTACTTTTTGAACGTTCCACCCTTTAAAAGGATATTTTAACAAGTTTCAAGACACTGACAGTTATTACAGCCCAAAAAATTCCAATATTGTCCACAACCGGTAACTGAATAAACAGAAATTTGATTGGAATTGGCATCTCGAATATTTCTCTTAGAATTTTGAATCAAGTCCCATGATCTTGAACGTTTTTCCTGAACCAGGATCTTGAAATATGTTCTCAACAGAAGTCTCAGAATACTGACAATCTATTTTAATCCTGGATCTTGAATTTCTGTGTACGGAATCAAAATCTCCATTAAATAATTTTCTTAGAAACTTATCTCAGCATATGTTTGCAAATTTCTCAAGGATTTTCATATGAGCATTTCAAAGTGGCTTCAGAATTACTTTTACGTTTAGGATTTCCCTCAATTATCTTATGATTCTGTCCGGTATTCAATAGAAATTTGATCCATAAAAATCGAAATTCGAACACTTTAGGTATTTCCTCCAGAAAATTTATGAAACTCACTCATTTGAATTCTTGGAATTTCTCGCAAGATTATGCTTTCATTCCTGTCCATTATATTCTTTACAGTTCACTTGGATTAGTCATGGAAATCTCTTAGTATGGTAGTTAATATTTAAAAATGAATTATTCCAAACTCTCCATGGCTTCACCACAGGATTTCAAAGAAATTTTCCTCACAATTTCCTTGAAATGCTTCTCAAAATGTGCTAACTGTAATGCACTTCATATGTCAAATCTTATAGTACGTTCAGACTACAAAGTTATAACAAAAATAACCATAAAAGAGAGCTTAACGACGTGTTCGGGGTATCATCCAAACAATTTGTGGGACAGTGTACTCATTCGGGATACAGTTCGTTTATGGTATTTGTTTATTAGGGATGTTATAGCGCTATCTTGATGGTGGTTTCTGTGTTGCAATTATTTGACAACCGTTATACATGTATAACGGTTGTGGTTTATAACATGTTATAACATGTTATAACCAACAATCAATACGAAACTTACTATTTTAATTTGGCTCACTACTTGACTAGCCTATTGGTACCAAGAAAACGATTAACGTACCCTATTCTAGTTGAAATTCTAGTACTACACAATGTTTGTTTTGATTCGCTATGAAAGTTTGACAGATAAAACGGGGGGTTAGTGGATTTTCCTTTGTTTCGAGGGGTGAATCGATTAGCTTGGGACCGAAGAGAGTACCAGAGCTGGGCCAAAAAGTTGAGCACGTTATTTCGGGACCTTCTAGTCTAGTCCTTTATGTTATAACTATCCAGTCTGGACAGCGTTTTATTGTTAAATGCATCTAAGTGTATCTGAGTGTATATCAGCTTGTCCTGAACAATTTAAATCTAGCTTAAATAGCAATAGGTGAAATGGGGAACTTGATCATTGATAGCGTCTACGTTCTCTAAATATGGTGACACAATACGCCTTTTTAATGCACCACCAACGTAGAGTGCGCCACGCGAGTTCGAGAAGAAACGTCAACCAAACCGTTTGTTTACATCAGAATAAGTATTTTCCCCAACGCAAATAACAGCATTTTTCATTCAAAATCTTGCCGATTTCCATCGGTAATTGTCTTATTGTACGATTTTCCACAAATCTAAACTGACTTGCACCTTAACTATTCACACACACAAAATCCAGAATATCATAACCACTAAGGCACTTCTCTAATTTTCCATTTTTCTCAACAAAAATATTCCTGAACACCAGCAGGATCTTTTGAAAAACGTTACAGAATTAAATTTTTCAACTGTAGATTAAGTTTTGCAGCATCTCAGATAAATCAATTTATCAGGAAAAGTAAAAAAGTGTTCCGCTTCCTATGTCTCAAGGCAAAAATGTATGCCCACAACATTCTTTTTGACGTTCTCCTATTCACCACCAGAGGTTGAATCGATCGTTTAGTTTCTATTAAAAAGGCCTTTTGGCAAATCAAATTTGCCCCCGTGGAGAATAGATGAACTACACTCAAAATAATCCACACTTTAATACTACGTGAAAAATCACGTAAGGTTTCAATTTTCCCCTTTCAGTCTACTTTACGTGACTCTCGTACAATCTATACAATGCTACTTTAATGTTAAAAGAAATTCCAATTACACCCATTTATTTATCCAATTAAAATTACGTGATTTCTATATACCTAGAATCTGTGTACGTTTCACGTAAGTCTTAAGTGAATTCCACGTATGAAAAAAGTAGGGAACTCAGTTGGATATCCAACATGGCGGCATGAGTGTAAAGATCCAGATTTGATATTATTGTATTGACTGGTTGAAAACGTAAGTATAAAATTTAAATTATGCTGTAAAAATTCGTGTTTTTATTTGAAGGAGGGAAGTAGCAAAAGCAGCTGATTTGTCTCTTTCTTCCTTTCCAGTCCCACGATGGATCCTCCTCGGATACTATCAGTGTGATAAGCGATAGCGATGGAAGTGAACATGCACGACTCTTCCCATGGCTGTCGTTGACTAAACATCAAGTTACTGCTTGGATTTTATAGCAATGTTTTTGTCTTTTGTTTATAATAAATTGAAAGCTTTAATGGTAATAAAGATACTCCATGAATTTTATTGTAATAAGCATTAAAATTAAGAAAAAAAACAGCAAACAGCACCAAAAATAATGGTATAAGAAATCATTATGA